CACTAAAACCCATGAAGCTGAACACGTTAAAAGAGAGGGAGGATGTGGGATCCATAAAACCCCTCAATAAAGTCATTAAAACCCTCTATGATTGACAACTCTGTTTCCAGCAAGATCAGATGGATGGTCAGACACCATAAGACTTTCCAGTAAAACACAGAAATGTTCAGTAAAGGAATATTGAACCGTGTGACCTACACAGCCGTGGGGGTGGGAGGGATGCTCCCGAGGTAAGCTCACATCAGAACGGAGGCCAAGGCTGCTGAGCCGAGCCCCGGGGCTGGTGCTCGTGGGTGAAGCTCTTTAGAGCTCAAGCCCACAGGTGAGAGACTCTGGTGTCTGTAGAAGTGGGACTGAATGGGAACAGCTGTCAAATGCTGGGCCCTTGGATGGAATGGCCTGGAAGAAAGGTGAGATTGTTTAAAAATAAACCCAAAGACCGTGCAGCGACATGACCAAGGAGATGGTCTCTAAATGTGCCCGGTGGGGAGGAAGAGAAGACCCCCGAACCTGGGCCTGCTGGGCTGGAGTCTGACTCCACCAGGCCACACAGGAGTCCCGAAAGCCCCCCAGAAGGGACCCAACGTGTAGAAACAGACACAGAACCCCAGGACTCATAACTTTAGGTGAAACGACATGACAAGGGTGGGCCATAAAACAGTGTGGTTTAAAAAGGATTCAAGTCCTAAAGGAGAACAAGGCACTGGGAAATCCCACCAGGCAGGTCTGGAAAACATCGAGAAGATAAAGACTTCTATAAAAGAAAGATTGTATAATGGAATGAAAAATTTAACGCATCCAGAAGATCATAAAGATCCCACTCAGGTGTAATTGAAGAGTCAACCCTGGAAGTGGAGAGTAGATCCGTAGACCCAGAGGCCGGGGGGGACAGTGAGCACGATGCTATGGGAGGAAGAGGAAGGAGCCGGTTGTCCCCTGGCACAACGTGGCAGCCACTTCAAATAGAATAGGGGATTTCAAAGTCCTCACAGCACATGAATGATCAGCACACTGCTCCCCATCCCAGCAGAAGCCCCAGGACGGACACATGGCCTCCACCTCCGCAGAGGAGAAGCCACCGCAACCCTATGGAACCAGCTAACCCACTGCTCCTGGCTCAGGCACAGTACAGAACACAACGGGAGTGGTTCACCACCGTGGGTCGCTCTGCAGACATTCACCACCGTGGGGCGCTCTGCAGACCAAGGTCTTCTGGACCCAGGAGACCAACCTGGGAAGAGAGGAATGAGAGGATCCAAGAGAGAATCCAAACAAGAGAGGAAATCGGCTGTAGGTCTAAGCCAGTGTTCCTACATCACAGAAGACGACGAGGACTGATTTAAAGGCGTAAAAAACCAAGTGAGACTTAAAGTTCCAAATAATAACACGTAAAATGAGAACAATTAAGGTTAACACAGTCCTAATGGAGATGAAATAGGCACCAAATTTAGATTTTGTTAGGTATCACTTCAAAATTGGAGATGTATAATGACATTACATAAGTTAAATCAAAAATCTTAAGTCATCAGCGAGAACAGAGAAAATAATTAAATTCCAATCATTTAAAAATTAGAGACGAATGGTTGGAGA